ATCTTATTATTCCCGTTTACTGCATATATATTTATTTCCGTTTCTTGCATAGCTATTTAGTTCCGTTTCTTGCAGTATTTGTCTTTATCGTGCAGTAGTTTTGTTTTTTTAATTTTATATTAAATGAAAATTCTTATTGGCGTTATGACCAGACTACTGTTTCGCGCCCGTCATTTCACATGTTACTTTTTTACTTCCGCGTTCAGGTCTTAGTAGCGCGCCGAGAAGGAAATTGCATGCTCACCTGTAGCGACGCGTGAAATAAGTCCGACTGCGAGAGAAGGCTTAACACGGCCCTCGTCCTGCCATAATCGCCGAGCTTTAAGTAAATCCAGGTGTGTCAGCGTAACTCAAAGCAAAGCTCGCCACGCGCACACACGGACAGTCAAGTCAGCCGGCCGGTCAAGGGAGCGTCGGTGCGAGCGGTGCCCCGCGACAGGGGGGGAAGATTCATCTTCCTTCGCATCGTGGCACGTCGAAGGGGGATGAACGACAATCCGTAAGGTGGGGATGAACGGCGCGCTGCTCTCTGCTGGCCGAGCAACCCCGTTCGGTCTCGCTCGCGCGCATAACGGGGATGCGATAGAGGGGGTGATTCGCCTCGTGCACGTCGGATATACGTAGTCTCGCGGCGGGTCGGAACTCCAGTCTCGACGCGGCAGCGCTTACCTTAGTGTCGCGTCATACGGGTGTGCGATCACACGTGCGACAAAATCATGGGTGAGAAACGTGCCGTGCTATGCCCGCGCGGACGACAGGTGCCCCTTCTGGTAGTGACAACCTTGTTGGTAGGCGTGCGTACGGAGCTTGTCGGTGAGTAAATGATGTGTTTGTGTGTTGTATCATTCGCGCATTTTTCCCACGTCAACTGTTATCCGCGTCGCGCGCATCAGGGATCGTATAAATGACACCTGTAATATACCGGAAACTATTAATTACATCGCTCGTTAAGCATCTATCGTCACTTGTCGAGGCGGCTAATGCGTGAGAATTCGAATAAAACCGCGCGGTACTTGTGATAAATCCGTGAAATCTGTAAGAGAGTTCGTGTTTTGTGTTTCTTACGCGAATAGGTCGCATTTACTGTTGATAATGAAACAATGAAACCATTTTTTTTTGTGATTTAGAACAAATTAAACAAACTTCTTTTTATGCACATTTTAATTTTTTTTGATGAATTAATATTGTGAAGTATATAATCATTTATATTATATCAATTAATATTATGAATTATGTAATCATTTCTGAAATTGATAAGTAGTTGAATTTGATAAAAGTTCTTATTTAATATATGTATAATGAGAATTAATAATTCAACTAATTTTTGAAAGATTTTTAACCGCACTTCAAATTACACTATTAAAAAAAGTTCTTAAATTATTCAAGAGATTGAAGAAGAAAAAATTATGTCATTAGAATTTTTAAATTTTTAAGAGAAATGTAGATATAGATGTGTATTTTCAACTTTTATTTTTTTATGTAAAATAAGATAAAGCTAATTTTTTTTATAATGCGAGAGAGAGCAGATAATTTAACATTAATATTTATAAGGTATTATATACCGTATATACCGTAACTAGTATTGAAGCATAAGTTTCTATATGTGTAGATATCTTTATCAGTAAATTAGTGAAATCAGGAGTTAACGAGGGCGACGATAGGTTTTTACACGTTAATTGGCGGATCTAATTGCGAGGGCTGGCGTGACAGGAATTTCGATGCTCGGTTTGCGTTATGGTTTTAACGCGTTTCGATTTATTCGCGGGAAGTCGTGCGACGAATAATATATTTCATTGCTCTCATCGAGTTCGTTTTTGTCACTCTTTAGTTGTTTATGACATTTACGAGGGAGTGGTGAGGAGATCTGTGATTATTTGATTTTATACTTTATTTTTAAATTATGAATATAACAATCTGCGGTTGCACGTGCCATCATCGAATTATAATATATATATATAATTATATCATCGAATAGTACGTGACATTTTTCCTCCCTTACGTATCTGTGCACGAGCATCGTGGTTAAACAAATATATAACGATGCATTGTTGAATTTAAAATAAAATTGCTGTATCATTTTATACGTAACGCAAAGAAGATTTTTAATATATCGCAAGAAAGCAAATTGTGCAATGATAAAGAAAGAAGAAACAATCTTCGTAAATTGTTGATTTATAAACAATGCACGGTAACGACTATGACATAACAGAGGACAAAATTTGGGCTGTGTCACTCAGTTTATATACGCGCGAATGTTGAATATCTCCTTTTCTGTTGCTTTATTGAAGAAATTTTCTTCAGATGCCGATGCATCTCCGTGCGATTCTAGATGCGCCTCGCAACGCGTATTTTCCCTCGCAGAAGAGACGCGTTTATCGCCCGATTCCGTTTTATTCCGTACTTGACAGTTTCAGTGGAACTTCTGAGATCGAAATTGTTTCATATTCGCGAAAATTACATAGACGAGGTAAGTCGTCTCGAACAATAAGTGCGATACGCAGGGACTCATTTCTTGACGGTCTCTCAGTAGTTGCATCGTTAACTTTATTACTCTTTCTATAACTCCCGCTTCTTTGTTTACTTTTTAATTTTGCAAGAGTCTCTACATTCCGGTAATTATCTGGCCCGATATTAGCGTAAATAGTAATTTTCACATTTTAAAAGTAATAATATGCACTTTTTCCTGCGCGATAAAAGATACTTACGAAGTAGCGAAATAAGATTGCTTTTTTATGTATTTTTTCAATTAACATTTTTCAATGCAGCCAAAGTTTATTTAGAACGTGCTGTTTAATTTATTAATTAACCGATAAAAATCGTTTAATCGTATGCATTCTGAAGTAAGAAAAATGGCGCGAGGAAAGAATTTTTATAGATGGAAAGCTTAAAGTTTGGTCGTAACATTATCGCGTTATTAAAGCACGCAAAATGCTTAATAAGTGTGTAAATTGAGTTGCGTCTTTATGAAATTATAAAAAAGTTGGCACGTGTAACAGGTGGTTTAGTGGCGATTGTTTTACTCGATATTCGTAAGACCGATCGAAGTTATTCCCACGTAACTCTCGTGAATAATAATAACAGGATTTGGTAACGTCAATTACAAACATTTTGTCGAATTATAACAATTTGACATAATTAGATATACATAATTCAATAATCATTACCAAGCAACTTTAAACGTTTTATTAATCTTATTAAGAATCCATTCGCGGCACGTTGAGCGTTCGAGTTTATAAGCATTTAATGCCCTTTAGAATAACATTTTCATTACTTATGATGGATTACGAGATGAATATAACATTCGCGGAGATTGTCGTATCGAAGAATAGGAGGTTCGCCTTCAAAGGCAGGGATGATCCTTCTGTTAAATTCTCCCGTATTATTATATTGGAGCAACCGGAACGTTTTAAAAGTATCCCGAGAGCACCGCTTGACGCACAAGCTCGAGCAATCGTGTATTTCAATGTAACTGAGCTCTCTGCATTAATAAGGTGAAATAGAGCAACGGGTATTCGGATAGTTAATATTGCGAAGTGTAATTTATCGCGTGCGCGACACGCTTTTCAAACATGAGATACGACGCATCACTTCTGACCGTTTTTCAAGGAGTTATTTATGCTTGGGGCTCTCACAGTATACGTTGATGCACCAACACGTTGTAAGGATATTTTTGCCACGCTGGTATGTAAATCACTTGTACGGTGTGTCGCGAGCATTATCGACCCGCAACGAAGAATTCAGCGATTCATGTTCCACTAATTATTGCTATCTTCGATCCGCCTTTGGTGTGCCGGGCACACGCGGCCGGAAATACAAGCAGCAATATAAAAACGTATCATTACGTGGTGGTTTACAAACGAATGCCGGCTTTCCGCGCGCGTTTTGCAAATGCATCTGTGTAACGCCGCGCGCTTTGTTATCGCACTTTGGTTCCGTTGCTTTTCCGGACAACTCGCTAACTGCAATTTTGTAGTTCTCAGTGGAAAAACGTCTGGGGAGAGGGAACAGCCTTGTCGTCAAATTTAGCCGTTTGTACAAGCATTCTACGTGTTCGCGGTTGCAAAGAGGGAAAGCTGAAAAAGCAGAAACGTAGTTGCGTTTAAATTTAGCATCCATTTATGTGATTTAGTAACTATCATCGCGGAGACTACAATAGGTAACGCGATAAGTCGGCATGCTGTTAAATTTAGATACACTGCGGATATTAGAGTGGAGAATACGATAAGCTAACATATTATCAAAATAGACATAATATAGAATGAGAATTACAATTAGAGGTGCAAATAGTTAGCATTCTCGTGTTGTTTGAAATTGAGTTATTTATACCATTTAACGTTTCTTGTTCGCAAATTATTCCCGATGCTGGCGCATAGATTTGTTACAAAATACTATACAGTGTTTATATTTTTGTGCAATTCTTTAAACGCCATTTTAATATAAATTTTAAGTACACTTAATCCTTTCGATCTGTAGATTAAAATCTTTAGCTTACTAAGTTAATTTTCAAATAGTAAATTGATAGAATTCTTCGCGAACATTTTGTCCGTTTGAGTATATTGGAATCACGCCTACAAGAATAACAAGAGCCTCACGAAATTGTTAACATCGGTTTGAGAGCTGACATAATTTCGCTGAGGACCGAAATAGACAGATGCCGGTCCGCAAGTATCATCCAAATCCTTTGCCCATAAAATTGATCAAATTCTGAGATACGCCGTACCGGCAAACGCTTTGGATCCAATAAAGAGGATTAAGTGTACTGAGCTGTAAACACGGTGTGATTGAATTCTGGGGGCGCGCCGAGGAAATTCCTCCCTCATGCTCTCTTTCTCTCGCTCTCTCTGTTTCTTGTTTCTCTCCAACTCTCGCCGGTTTCCTTTCTGTTTCTTCTTCGCTGTTCCGTTCTTCTCTCGAGTGTTATAGTTTTCTCCTTTGTTTATGTGCCCTTATATGGTCGTGCAAGAAAACAAAACGGTTGTGCCAAGCTTCTTCCACTTTCATTACCGTGGAAAATGTCGCGACATTTGTCTTCACGTAAATTGGACGCCCTCGTACTGTGTCCGAGATGGTTCGCTGAATTTTATGCGAATTTCCACTTAATGGAGTGTGTGATTGCTCTCATAGACTGATATAAACGGTCAGTTGTACAGTGGATCCACTTCCGAGATGTTCTCTTGAATTTTTCAATTTATTTTACACGCGTTTTATGCGTTTAATCATTAAAAAACTGCATAAATCACTGCTATTTTATTCTGTTTGCATTTTTACTTTGATCTCATTAGAAATAAAACGTGGATTATAACGGCTTAACATCGTTTGGTGAATTTTCTGGCAGCTATTAAAGGTTATAATCAATGATATATAATCGATGTTATAATTCCCTTTTAGCCCAGACAAATTATTGTATATTTTTGCGAATGTCATAATTGTAGAAATATTATTTTTTGGTGATATTTTATTTCTTTTTACACAATTTGAAAGTTTTGCATGCAATTAATTTGTAAGCATTAAAAACGTAAAAAAAAAAAAACAATTATAATTTTATTACAAAAATTGTTTATTTGTTACAATAGATATGAAGTTTAATCAGTTGACATGCAATAATTTCTGACAAATAAAGATTTTAATTCTGCATCCATTATTTAACGGCGTATATTTAATCAGTGATTTCCAAGTGTCAATCTCGCACGATAAAATTCAACAAAATGACATATTAAAACGCAGAATGTAATTAATAAACACGTTATTTTAAAGAATGCGGACATAGTAATTAATGTAGTAATTAAATTAATGAAATATTGTATGTTCGTAAT